TCGACACTGGCCGTTTATAGCAGTCCCGTGGATTTTTTCCTGGTACGGGACCTGCTTTACGAATCTACCTGGCATATTTTTGTTGATACAGATCTCACTGGGCCTGGTGCCTGGCCCATTTTTCCCAATGCAGGCCACACAGACCTGGTACCGGGCTGCTTTAGCCAATGCGGGGTAAACTGGCAGTCTCTTGAGGCCACGGCCTCTGGTACCAGGAAGATATAACAAGGATCAACTGGTCTGGTAGGACATTCAGACGGGGGCAGTCTCTCGCAGCATGCAAGGTGTACCCCGCCCACGTCGCTTATACCGATGATGTCAACGGGGAGCAGTGCACAGGCGGTTACAAGAGATGGAGACGGGGGGCAGGCTCTCGCTGCATGCAAGGTGTACCCCGCCCACGTCGCAGATACTGAGGAAGTCAACGCAGATCTCACGAGCGCAAGGGGTACGCTGCGGCATTTGCGCATTCGAGCGAAACGGAGGAGACGGTGTGAGGAGAAAGGGATTCTGGCAGTGTGCCAGGTGTGCGGGGCGCTAGTTTGACTAGGAGGAGGACCATTACCGTGAGAAACAGAGATTACCATGGTCACGACTGACTAAGAGCTGCCGCTGCTGGCGGGAATGAGACTCATCGGTGAATATCATATTTAACGATCCCGCAGCTGGGGGGACGACCATCTTCAGTGTGATCATCCTGCTGCAGGCGAGAGCAACGATCACCATCTTCGGTGTAATCATCCCGCCGCTGGCGGGGACGGAGCTCATCGGAGAATATCATATTAGACGATCCTGCCGCAAGCGGGAGCAGGCCGTACAGTTGTATATGACCAACCAAGTATTCCCCCTGGTGGTGGGAACAACCGTTTTAGTAGATTCAGGCTAATCAAGTATTCCCACTCCAGGAGGAAACAGACAGTTTTGTTGAATGAGACCAATTAAGCATTCCCGCTGCTGACGGGAACGACCGGTTTTGCTGATACAGACCAATCAAGAATTCCCCCTGCAGGCGGAAACTGACAATTTCGTTGATTCAGGCTAATCAAGTATTCCCGCTGCTGGTGGGAACTGCAACTCTCACTAATCAGCCAACCAAGTACTCCCTCCGTTGGCGGGAACAAGCAATTTCACTGATCAGCCCGATCAAGTACTCCCGCTTCTGGGAGGTGCGGACGGTTCCATAGTTCAGCCAATCAAGCGAATCCCCGCTGCTGGCGGGATCGGTCAGTTCCGCTGATCTGCAAACAATTTTTTTTAATTTTTTTTTAAATATATATAAGTATATATATTACTTTTCTTGTTGTAGTTGCTGTTCTTCTGGCCTATGTGAATGACTCAAAAATTTCCTTCTTTTTTTTGCGATGCTTGGCTCGTTTTGATCTCGAACGGGCACTTCTGAGCTTGAACCAGCGAGCAAACGACTAGGGTCAAACTAACCCGCGGAGTGGGTGGGGAGAGAAAGTGAGAGAGAGGGTGCATGGAGAGAGAGAGAGTGCGCTGAGAGTGAGTGAGTGAGTGCACAGAATGAAAGAGTGAGAGAGAAGTGCATGGAGAGAGAGAGAGAGTGCACTGAAAGTGAGTGAGTGAGAGCACAGAATGGGTGAGAGAGAGAGAGAGAGAGAGAGAGAGAGAGAGAGAGAGAGAGAGAGAGAGAGAGAGAGAGAGAGAGATACGAAGAGGGGACGCGAGAAACAGTGACAAAGAGAGATTGATGTACAAGAGGGAATATCACAGTGAGGAAGATGCCTTGAATCTCTGTCCTCTGGCAGATAGCTTGCTGCAAGACTCGATGAGATACGAGAGACGTTTAACCCAACTTTTGAACGCGATCTTAGTCATATGTTCGTAACTCTCAGCTCAGAGCGTCAATGCAAGATCTGTTTTCGTGAGTGTCAGGGGGACGTCAAAGCGCATATTTTGACCGTTCCGATTCTCAAACCGACAAAATTTGGACATAACGGTGAGGTGCACGACAAGGCTGATTATTCCACAAATGCGGGAAATCAACATTTTATCAAAATATTCTCTTGCTCAAAGAAGCCTTGAGGCAGGCTCCCTCATCGGTAAAATTTCCGTACGAGTTTGATCATTAAGACGCTTGACACCATATGAGACCACTGCTCTTGATTCAAAGAACCCGTGTTTGAGCGCAAGTGAACCCTTCCTGAGTATGGTGTGGTATGATCTAACGAGAGGGGTAGCGCGCATATAGCAAAAGAGGAAGGGGGAGAAGGGAAGACAAAGAGAGTCAGGGGCTGGATGGATTTACGAATGTACTGAAACTTTAAAAGGGGAAGGAGTGTGTTTAAACTCGGTGCAAAGTGCTTCCTTTGAACCTTGTTGAGGCTGCCGTGTGACACGTCTCCTGATGGAAACAATGACTACAGCGGATGACATTTTCTCACACTAGAGGAATGCTGCAGTACTTTCAGAAAACTGATGATCCCTTTATTCTGTGAGTTACTGTTCTGCGTGAAGAATGTGAGTCAGCTTTGTTAAGAACACAAGTTGAAAAGAGCAGTAAAAGTAATAATGACAATGACAACAGTAATAATATTAATAAGATAATTTACAGATAATCTCAGAATGTGGACCTTCGACAGTAACTCACCCTAAGTGAAGGTCTTAGTCCCGTCGACATGGCGGGTGTTGTTTGGATCCCCCATCATTGAAATCATCTCTGCACAAAGCGGAAAGTGATGATTAATTTAACGTGGTTTCCCATCGTGGACAAAGCAGGCAAAACACAGAATCCCTGCAGGTCGCTGAGGACCTCGGAAGCGGGCGCGGCGAGTGACAAGCGTCGTAGCCCTTGGCTTCAGCGAACTGCGGGTGCCTTTTCCCGGGTTTCCTCACAACTTTGGCGCCGTTGCCGGGGAGGGGATTGCACCCCCAAGGCCTCGGCCTTCCCCAATCAACGGGGGTGCGCAGGCTAAACTAATTAGCTTTAAATAAGTTGATTAGCTGATTTTTATTTTTATTTTTTAATTTTGTAATTCTTTTTTTTTCGATATCTCCCGATCCGCGCGCTTTCGCGCGAGCGAAACTGGGAGCAAAGTTTGCCCTCTCATCGAGGCGAATGTTTTGAGATGTTTTTTGAAAAATTTTAATGGCTAGAAAAAAAGATATGGAATTTTTTATATTTTTCTAATTAAAAATCTAAAAAAAAATAAAAATCACAAGTTAAAATTTCTAATTCGTTTTTCCTCGATATCTCCTGATCCGTGTGCTTTCGTGCGAGGCGCATGGGAAGCAAAGTTCGTCCTCTTGTCGAGGCGAACGTTTTTAGATATTTTTTGATAAATTCGAACGGCTAAAAAGCGAGATATGAATTTTTTTGTATTTTTTGATTAAAAATTCCAAAATTTTTCATTTTTGTTTTATTGAAATGGCCGGGAAAATAAGCAAAATTAGGGGAACCCCGCGGGAACCAAAGTTGGTCCTTGTATTTTTCCTGACATTTTGAGACCGTGGTCGGGGAAAACGGACTTCGTTTGGACAAACGGCGAGCTCCAACAGATAGAAAAGGTGGAAAAAAATCAACGAAAAATTGAATTTCTTTGTAATTTTGTTTAAATTAAAAGAAAAGGAATTTTAAAAATGTAATCCGATAAGTTTTCCTTCTAAACCTAGTGAAAGCTAGCAAAATTTTTCTCGCGTCGAGCAGGGTTTTGCGGTGTGCGTGCGGTTGCGCGCAAAACCCAAGACCCTAATAAGGAAAAACCCTAATTAGGGTAAGACCCTAATTAGGGTGAAGTCCTAACCCCAATTTTGAGAGAAGCGGGTAAATAGAGGGAAGCCATAGCTTCTACCTTCCGCGTTTGTTGTGGATTATTTTTTGTTAAATATATCTCGCAAAATTGTGGAAATTAATTAGGGAAGTTTTGCTCCATTAAATAATTCAGAATTATTTTACTTTTGATTTTGTTATTTAAAATTAGTAAAAATTAAAATAAATATTAAAAATTGCGTAGGGGCATTTGTTTGACTTCAATGCACTTAATATCTACTTGACCTATTTGAGGGACTTTTTTCGAACCCCATCCCACCGAGGGGGAAGGAAAACTGCTGTCGAAATTTCTCGAAATTTCCCTTTTAATTTAAAATTTTGCTAATTAATTAACAAAAAAAATATTAAAAAAAAAAAAAAAAATCAAGTTAAATCATTTTTTTTTTTTTTTTCATTATTCCTTTTGATATTCCCCCTTCGGCAGCGTTGTTTGAGGATTTCGCCCGAACCCCATCCCAACGGGGGGAGGCGAAACGCTGCCGAAAGTTTAGTAAATTCCCCAAATTTTATTTCTACCTCTAAAAATTTTCAAACTCGGCGGGCTTATATATGTATTGATCCTTAATATATATAAACTAAGAAAGATATTTTATCATAACTAAATACATTTTCTTTAATTTATAATTAAAAAATACAAAAGAATTTCCTAGAAGAAGAAGGGAAAGAGACGCTGGGGTAACCTGGGTCCGGGTGAACCTACTGGCTTGTTCCCGAAGGCCTGAGGCAAGTAACGGGAATTTTCAGTTATTAAAGTTATTTTTTTTATAATTATTTGGCAAATATTCGGATTAAATCAAAAGCAAAGGGTAGAAGGAAGCACGTGCGTACCTCGCGACTCGCTAGGGTTTTCATTACATCCCCCTATGCGCTGAGCGTGAGGTAGTGCTTTCTTCTCGTTTATAGGCAATTTTTATTAATTTAAACGATTAAAAATCCCTTAAAACTGCGAAAAAGGCTTAAAATTTCAAAACGTGAGTACGCTCGGCTCTTAATTTTGGGTTTTTGACTAGGAGAAAGGGTCGTTGCTCGGATACCTACTCAAAGGTGCATTAAACAGAACTCCCTTGAGTTGAGCCCACGCCTTATATTCGAGGGAACTCAAATATAAGGCCTATAGGTCAATCCGAAACCGGGATTTCAACACCCTTTCCTTTTTAGATCAGTCTAGATTAGTACGGCTTCGGTGCGGCTCCGATCCGCAAGGGATCAGTCGATCTGCGGAAAGTTCCAGTTAGGCTGTCATCGCGCCTCCTTCCTAATCCCTTCTGTACTTCTCTCTACCAATGTCTCTTGAGGTTCTCTCACATCCCTCATTCTGACTCTTCTTAGTTTTCCATTTCTCATACGACAGTTTGTTGTTAGAGGTGTTCCCCCATCCCGCCCGCGCTTCTCACTAAGCTTTTTGTATACTGCAGGGTGTCGCTGATCAGGGTTGCGGCCCTCCCGCCCACTCCTTCTCTTGGGCTCTGCTAACCAGGGCTTGTTGCGCCCCTGGGCAACTCAAAATTGGGTCGGGCTATTGTCCGTAAGCTCTAATTTTAAGCCAGCCTAACGCCCCAACTGAAGGAGTTCCTAGCGTAGTTGTTAGGACATAGAGACTGTTCACAAATAGGTACGGGCTGCCGGATAAGACAATAGGTCCGGGCTGCCGGATTAAACATTAGGTCCGGGCTGCCAGTCCTGACATTGGGTCCGGGCTGCCAGTTCTGACATTAGGTCGGGGTCGCCGGTTCTGACATCAGGTCCGGGCTGCGAGTTCTGTCACAGGTCCGGGCTGCTCCAACTGTCATAGGTCCGGGCTGTAACGCCTGGCGTAAGTGCCCGACTACAACTTCTGGTAGCCTATGGAACCAGACACGATGGGGCAACAACCGACCACGGGCGAAGCAGGAGAGGAGTACAGGACATCGCCCGAATGAGCACTGAGGGATCTGAAGGAACGGATTAGGCAGGGAACACCGCTGAGATGGCTGACCAAACCAATGACGGAGAACCCGACGTAATGGACGAGATGGTCGTGACAGAGCCGGAGGAGACTTTGAAGACTGGGACCCCGGACGCTCGACGAGAAGCGACGACACGACGCTCCCCCGAGTATGAACGGAGGGATACCAGGGCGGAAAGGCGCGGGGACGACTGGAGAGAGAGTTCACGAGATTCCTATTGGAGGGACAGAGACAGGGATAGAGCACCGTCCCGACGTGTCTTCGACCCCAAGACGGGGGAGTCACATTTGCTCCCTTACGAGAGCAAGGATCGCTATATTATTACGCACAACGCCTCTGAGCCTCCTACCTTCAGGGGCTATGGTATCACATAATATCTGGAGAAGTGAGAGTTTCATGCTAGCCGGAGTCAGTGGTCGGAGGAAGAGATTATAGAGAACTTCCTATTTAATGTGGATTCAAGTCCCGGCAAGGAAGTTCAGGAAGCCCGACCGAAGGATAAGAAATGGACTACGCATAAGAAGAACCTCATTGAGTTTTACCAATTAGAGGATAACAAGTACTCCATAAAGGACCTTGAGACTATGACTCAAGATGAAGATGAGAGCGTACGGACATTTGGGAAGCGTTTCCAAAAGATCTCTGACGTGCTGATGAAGAAGGGGAAGATATCAGAGGTCGAGCGCTGTACTATCTTCATTGGACACCTGTCCAAAGGCAGACAAAAAAATATACTTAGAGATCTCCCACGCGACAAGTTTGACTTCCCTGAAGTCCTAAAGCTCGCGATAAAGGCAGAGGCAGATGACTACAAGGACTTGGTATGGAGAGGAATGAGGAGGCGTGATTTCTCTCTCTACAAGGAGTATGTCACTGTTAGATGTCCTGATTTCAAGGACTATCCCTGGTCGGAAAAGAATGAAGTCGTGGCCGAGGAAGTGAAGGAGATAAGGGACATGGTAAAGGGATTGACAAGAGAGGTTATAGAGATTGTGACCAGCACAGGAACCACGACTTACCGGGACAAACCCGGAGGGCCCTATTCACTTCGCTGGGACCGTAGGAACACCGATTCCTGGAGGAGTGTCGAGGATAGAAATCCTCGAACGCCGACTGATTATCGTGCGAAGGAAAGAGAGAGAAACGATGAGTCATGACGACGTAGGGATGATGATATAGACCGGGACCGCAGGGCTCGCGAGACGTATGGGCGAGCTATGAGACTGGATGATTACTCACGTAGCCCTCGTTATGAGGCTGATGGGGGTAGAGGCGACTCTCGAGGCCGGTGGGAGTCAGATCAGGGCCGACGAGACCGATACAGGGACGGCAGATATGAGAGATCGGACCGAGATGGATATAGGGACGACAAATATGAGAGATCGGACCGAGATGGATATAGGGACGACAGATATGAGAGGTCGGATCGAGAAGGATACAGAGGTGGCATATATGAGAGAGGAGATCGGGACGAAGACCGACGAGATGGCTCTCGCGGACGGTATGACCGCGGGGGATTCGCGAGGGCGCAGCATGACGATTCGCGGGGGTGGTACGATGGAGGAGATCGACGCGATGAGTCGCGCGGGCGATACGACCATGGGGACCGCCGGAATGACTCACGGGGACGATATGAGCAAGGAGGATCCGGAGGAGACCGCCACAATGATTCGCGCGGCCGGAATGAGAGAGGGGGATATGGCGCGTCATCCGATCCGCATACAAAGTCCCCAGACCCCAGAGCAGGGAGAGGTTCGACCTCATGGAGCGCAGACGACAGGCCACCCACTCCCAGGAACTCCTGCGTCTACTGTAGAGGGGATGATCATATCAAGAGAGACTGCCCGGATCTCAAACGGGCAATAGATGAGGGACTTGTCATGCTTGATGACCGCAAGTACGTCAAGTGGGCAGATGATCTTGGAGACGTATCGATGTTCCCTTCGATGAAGAAGAATGTTGAAGCAAGGAGAGTAAAGCCGAGTAAAGGAAAGGAATCGGTTAGGAGCCAGAGCATCAAGATAACTTTCAAAGGAGATATGACAACCACACCCATAAGGGTGGCAGCTACCAAGTCGGCTAGGGGGTCTACATCGAAGAAGACTGACACGGATTACGTGATGGCGGAGAAGGATGGACAGCGGATCGATGGAGAGGAGGTTATTTTTTTACCACGAAAGCGGGGAGTAAAGAAGTTTTTGATGAAGAGTTCGCTGGATGAGATTGACATGGTCGAGCCACTGAGACGGACCCTTTGGCAGCCCATGCAATGCTCTATTCTGGAATATCTGGTGCATCCAAGTCGGCTCGTGACGAGTTACAGATGATCACTTGGAAGACTCGCATATCTCTATCAGAGGAGGCTCAGGTGGCCCCAAAGGCGGATGTTCCTACTGTAGCAGTATCGGAGGTGACTGCTAGAGCAGAACGCATGGCAACAGTTCTTTTTGATGGGATGAAAGGTGTGCCTCCAGACAAGTTTTACATACTTGGTAGTGGGACCGTGGAGACGATCCTAACGACGAAGCGGTACTAGATGTTGTGATCGATAACGGCAGTGAGGCTGTCATTATAGACGAGGATCTGGCAGAGCAAGTTGGACTGGGACTCGATAGGTCATCTATTCGAGATAGAGACGACTGATGGGAGAAAGCAACAGATCACAGGAGTTTGTCACAAGGCAGACATAGAAGTCCAAGGGGTACGAGTGACTCTGCCAATCTTTGCAGTCAAGAACTGCAACTATGACCTGCTCTTGGGACGGACATGGCTGAGCCATGCGCATGCGGTGACGATAGAGCGACCGGACGGGAGCCAAACACTGTCCATTAAGAAGCTAGATGGGGCACGGGTTATGATTGAGATAGTGGAGCCTCAGGACCCGAGGAGCAGAGCATCTCTCGCTGTAGGTGCGGGACTAAGTGATTGGATAAAGTCATTACCTATCTCCGGCCGCGCGGTGCGATTTCGTGAGAAGAAGTATGGACCTCTGCTCACAGAAGAAAAAGGTCGGATTGTAGAAGTGGAAGATTTAGGAAATCGGCTGATAATGGATGGGAACTCTTATCGAAAGGACAGGAACGAAGAATTCGGCGGCATGATATCTATATCTTTTTTAAGGGCACAACCCCCCTACGCGGAGCAACCCAAACACCACAAGCGAGTAGCTCAGAAAGTTAAACCTGCTGCGGTACATCGAGAGCGATCTGCGCTAGAAGGAATATCTGAAGAGGAAATCGCCAAAGAGATTAAGGAAAGGAAAAAAAAGAGTCGCAGCGTAGGATAGCAGGGATGAATATCGACGATGGGAACTTAACCCCGCAGGAGAGAGAACGAGTACTAAAGGTACTCAAGACTTGCGATAAGGCTACAGCTTTCAGCGACGCGGAACGGGGTCGAATTGACCCTCGTTACGCTAAACGACCGAGGATCTACACGATTTCGCACACTCAACAATCGGAGCGGTTTTCAGCAGCGCTCGCCGGGGGTGTGTTTGTTCGGAAGGATTTTACCGAATTTTTCTCACCTTTTCCGCACAAAACCGGCGACGTGCACTCTTAGAAACGCAGTAATAAAACATTTATTTATTAATTTTTTTATTAATCGTTAATTTTTTTTTTTTTTATTCCGTCAAGTAGAGAGCTCAACGGGGGCGTCGAGAAGAGGTCCGGGCTAGCTGTCGGGCGACCACAGGCAGTGGGTCACCCGAAATCAGCGGTTTTGAGTCTTAGACCCGATGACTAGACCGTATTTCGACGGTACTCTTGTTTGACCTGACGGGGAAAATTAGGGGTACCCAGAGCACCCCTAATTTTGGATGTGCTGNACTCTTGTTTGACCTGACGGGGAAAATTAGGGGTACCCAGAGCACCCCTAATTTTGGATGTGCTGACCACTGAGAGTAACCCTCAAATTAACGAGGGGAGTTACCTCGTCTACCACGCTCTGCCCCACCTCTCTTCCGCTTGTTCCGAGTCTATTCCCGAAGCAGCTAGCCGCGGGATGGGAATACGGGAGTAGGCCTTGGCATGACAGTTTTACTTTGCACAATTGGAGCGGGAATGGAGCCTCGGATTTCATTAATTTTAATACCAGAATTAAAAATGGAAAAAGGAATTAAGAACAATAGAAGCGAAGAGAAAAACGGGATATTCTTTATTTTATTAAATTTCCTCGGTATTTAATTTTAATATAATCACCATCGTTATTTGTTATTTCTAGTAATAGAATCAAAAATAGGGAAAAGAATCAAAAACAATAAAAGAAGAAAAAAACAAAGAAAATTTTGTTAATTAATTGAATTCCATCGGAATTCATTTTTGTTGGAATTATTTTTATTTTTATTATTTTTGATGATAGGATTAAGAAATAAGAAAAATAGTTAAAAATGATTGAAAGGGAAGGAAATTAATGATTATTTAATATTTGATTAAATTCTGTTTAAATTATTCGTGATGAGTTTGGGGTCGGATTATTTATTTACCCTGATTTAACGATCCTCCTTATTCTCCGATAATTGAGATCGCTCACGTGACTTACCTGATATATCTCGTTACTAGCCTTGTCGCAGTTGGTGTGTTTGGAGAGAGTGAGACCGTATGGTCAGTGGGGGTTGGTGCTACCTTTGTCCGACTATTGCTTCGATACCACACTCAGTATTGGCTTGACATCGACATGTTTCAGGTTCGGTAATGACTCGGCGTCCGTACGGTACAGCCCACTGCAGTTCGGGACACTTGCCTCAGGTTCAGTGTTGATTTGGCTTTGGCGCGACACTGCTCGATATGTGTCTCAGATTCGGTTTTAGTTCAACAACGACATCGGGTTGCAGCGCCGCGTCACTACTACTCTGTGTGATCACTGGTTTGGCGCCGACACAGAATTTCGCGGTTTGGTGTTTTTCCTTTGATACGGTCACTGGTCCGACATTGATGAGACTCACAGTAGCCTGTTGCTACTATTTGGTGCTGTACTACTCCAACTTGGTGTTGATTAGTGATACGGATTTGGCTCAACGACGGTCTGGTCACGCTGGTTCAAGTTCGGTACGGTATACTGATTCTAGACAAGTTCGACGATGGTACCCCTACAGATTGGCCAATGGTACGGCACAGGCAAGGTACAGCGGCAGCGTACTATGGCCTGTTCCTTTTCCTTTCAAGCTCGGTAACTGGTATCATCAGAGACAGTGCAGCTTAACTTTGTTCATTTCGCTCTATTATGGTTCGGCACTAGTCGTTTGTAGCAGCCCCGTGGATTTTTCCCTGGTACGGGACCTGCTATACGAATCTACCTGGCATATTTTTGTTGATACAGATCTCACTGGGCCTGGTGCCTGACCCATTTTTCCCAATGCAGGCCACACAGACCTGGTACCGGGCCTGCTTTAGCCAATGCGGGGTAAACTGGCAATCTCTTGAGGCCACGGCCTCTGGTACCAGGAGTATATAACGAGGATCAACTGGTCTGGTAGGACATTCAGACGGGGGCAGTCTCTCGCAGCATGCAAGGTGTACCCTGCCCACGTCGCTTATACTGATGATGTCAACGGGGAGCAGTGCACAGGCGGTTACAGGAGATGGAGACGGGGGGCAGTCTCTCGCGGCATGCAAGGTGTACCCTGCCCACGTCGCAGATACTGAGGAAGTCAACGCGGATCTCACGAGCGCAAGGGGTATGCTGCAGCATCTGCGCATTCGGGCGAAACGGAGGAGACGGTGTGAGGAGAAAGGGATTCTGGCAGTGTGCCAGGTGTGCGGGGCGCTAGTTTGACTAGGAGGAGGACCATTACCGTGNGGATTCTGGCAGTGTGCCAGGTGTGCGGGGCGCTAGTTTGACTAGGAGGAGGACCATTACCGTGAGAAACAGAGATTACCATGGTCACGACTGACGAAGAACCGCCGCTGCTAACGGGAACGAGATTCATCGGTGAATATCATATCTAACGATCCCACAGCTGGGGGGGACGAACATCTTCAGTGTCATCATCCCGCTGCAGGCGAGAGCAGCGATCATCATCTTGGGTGTAATCATCCCGCCGCTGGCGGGGACGGAGCTCATCGGAGAATATCAGATCAGACGATCGTGCCGCAGGCGGGAGCAGGCCGTACAGTTGTAACTGACCAACCAAGTATTCCCCCTGGTGGTGGGAACAACCGTTTTTGCTGATTCAGGCTAATCAAGTATTCCCACTCCAGGAGGAAACAGGCAGTTTTGCTGAATCAGACCAATTAAGCATTCCCGCTGCTGACAGGAGCAACCGGTTTTGCTGATACTGACCAATTAAGAATTTTTCCTGCTGGCGAAAACTGGCAGTTTCGTTGATTCGGGCTAATCAAGTATTCCCGCTGCTGGCGGGAATAACAACTCTCACTAATCAGCCAACCAAGTACTCCCTCCGTTGGCGGGAACAGGCAATTTCACTGATCAGCCCAATCAAGTACTCTCGCTTCTGGGAGCTGCGAACGGTTAGAAGCACCCTCTCAGCCCCCGAGTTCCTGAGAAAACCAGACGGCACACAGACAAGAGGAGGCACTTGCGTTGAGCGCGAGTGGTCCACTTAGACCTGGTACGTTTCGTCTAATTTTGGCGGGGCGGGCTCGACGGGGGCGTCGAGAGGAGGTCCGGGCTTGTTTGTTGGGCGACCGAGGGTCAGTCGGTCGCCCTAATACCAGGAGATTGACCTGTAGAAAACTTGTCTAAGAAGGAATCGGCCGTCGGTTTCATCCGACCGGTTGGGAGAAATTAGGGGTAGTCAGATCACCCCTAATTTCGGGTGTGTCAACCGCCAGGACTAGCCCTAGAAATTGGCGAAGGGGACTACCGCTTCACCGCCCTCACGACTACTTTACTGACTACCTCATTTTCGTCCGGTCTAGACCTGTTCCAGAATCGACTGTCTGCGGGGCGATTAACTAAGGATGAGCCTTGACGAGGCTCTTTTACTGTGTCCAACGGGCGCGAGGAAGGGGTCCACATTTAATTAAATTTAATATTAAAATTAAAAATGAGATAAAGAATTAAAAACAAAAGAGAAGAGGAAAAATACGAAATATTCATTGATTTATTTAAAATCTTCGATGTTAAATTTTTGATGTGATCGACCTCAATTATTGATGTTTCTGACAATAAAAATTAAAAACATGAAAAATAATCGAAAGCGATAAAAGAGAAAGAAAAACAAAGAATTTTCGTTGTTTAATTGGATTCCATCGGAATTTATTTTTGATAAATTTGCCTTTATTTCTGTAATTATTAATTTTGGAAAATAGAGGAGAAACAATTAAAATTAATAAGAAGGCAGAAAAACCAAGATTATTAACTGACTGACGTAGTTTGTCTCCAATTATCCGCGATCTGAACTACCCCCGGATTAATCATGTATTCTAGTTCGGACGATTTCCACTATTTTCCGATAATTGGGGATTGCACGCATGTCCTACCTGATTTCCTTAATTTCTAACCTTACCGTAACCTGTGTACTATGAGAGCGGGAAGAACGGACGCGGGGTGTTGCTGCTATGTTGCTTAATTGTGCCCCCCCGACGCCTTTGCGTCGGTGTGATCACAAATTCGGTTCGGTATATATGGTTCGAGACAGGCTCGGAACTATCACCGGGGGGGCAGCACAGACTTGGTTTCTACATGTTTCAGGTTCGGTATTGGTACTGCATCAAGATGTTATACGCCGCTGCGATATTTTCGGGTTCGGAATTGGTTCGGTGTCGGCACGACACGAGTGGTTAGTTGGTCCGACGTCGGCATGTTTTCAGGTTCACGGCACTACAGCGATTTATTTCCAGGTTCGGAGACCCTATGATGATTTATTTTCAGGTCTCGTACCATGGCGGTAGCTCAGTTCGGAATCGGAACCGGCACCGTCTCGGCAATTGTTCCAGGCTCGATCTTGGTCCGACCTTGATACGGTACGGTTTGCTGCGGTGTGGGATATTTGTTTCAGGAGGTTACCTCAAGGTCGGTGTTGACATGTTGATCGATGAAGGCCAAGTTGCCACGGCTTGGGTTGATAATTTCCTGGTTCGGCATCGGTACGGTTCAGATAACTGAAGTTCGGGGCGAATGTTTCAGGTACGGTGTTGCCTCGGCATAGCGGCTGCTCCAGGTGGTTAATTAAAATCAGCGCGGTTGAATTCTCCAAATGTGGCGCTCGGTTGAATCGAGTTAGTCATCGGCATTTTGAAATCGGCCTTGTTGACAGTCCGGGAATGGGTGTCGCCAGCGCACTGGACCAGGTGCGCTCCTTGATTCGGTACCAGGTGTTGGGCTCCCATTTTGAAAGGAGGGTGGACCTGAGACATAGGCCTGTCTGTGGGCCTTAAGCCGCAGATACCTGGTACTGGCCGTGGCACGGGTGAATACCAGACGACTTTTTTCTTGGAGGGATTTTCCCAGGACGCGGCTGGGGAATAAGGGCGGACGGAGGCCACTGGGGGAGGCATTCGGAGAGGAGCGATTCATTCTGGGGGCGAGGTGTACGCAGCCCGCAATTCCGCCCGTTTGAGTGCACCAGGCGTCCGCCGCAGTATGAGCAGTTGACCTGGAGTAGAGCGGAGACAACGGGGGGGGATTCTGCGGGCGAGGTGTACACAACCCATAGAACAGCCCGTTTCGAAGGAAAGGATTGGGGCGCCAAGTGCGCGCCACGTGCCTGTAGTTGACTGTAGTGCTAACACTGAGGGCCGGAGCACGGTTGGAAAGAAGGGGAAGGAGGAGTTGCAATGCGGTGGTCCGCTCGAGCAGCAGACCGACAACACGGGAACAGACGGTGCTTGTTGCTGATGGGGGTGGGCTATCTCAGTCTTCCCCAGGAAGAGAGAAGGGAGCTTGGGGTCAGAGGAATAAGTGCGCTGCTATCGGAACTCTGCTGCTGAAATGCCAGTTGCAGTGGAAGAGGTTGAAATGTGCACAACCAATCAGGAAGGTCTCTATGAGAACGGGATAGGAAGAGGGGAGAATGAGTAAATGTGTAAATGCGTGTGAGTGTGCGCACATGCGTGTGTGTGAGAAAGTGAAAGAGAGTGAGCGCATAGGTGATCGAGCATCTGCGCTAGAGAGAGAGAGGGGAGGACCAGGGGAAGAGGAAAGGATGGAAACCATCATCTGTCAGTCGAGAGGCTGTCATCCCGCTGACGAGACGAACAGTATTTACTTTTGAAGGGATCTGTAAATCCTGCTGGTGGAACGAACATACATATGCTACCGCTGACGGGATCTGTCATCTTGTTGATATAACGAAGAGACACATTTTGTTGTTGAAGGGATCTGTCAATCCCGCTGGCGGAACGGACATACATATGCTACTGCTGATGATATCTGTCATCCTCTGATGGGACGAACGAATACCTGCGGCAAATGATGGGATCTGTCATCCCGAGAACGGAGCGAACATTCGTATTTAACTGCCGAGAAGATCATTCATCGCGTTGATAGAAGGATCAGCCCTTCTATCACTAGCTCGACGTGGTGACAACCAGGTATGTGCGAGTGACCTCTGGGAAGAGCCGAGCATCGTGGCTGGGGTATCTGGCCAGAGCAGATCACTTTTCACGTCATACGGATTCATACCCCCAAAGGCTCGATCTGTAGAGTGAGGGAGGGGCGAAAGAGTCGTTCGCGCGGAAGGTGACGTGAGAGCATTCCTTTTTGTAACTATTCTCGCTTCTTTCTTCTCGAATTCTATTTCATTTCGTCTTTTATTTTGTCATTTAGGTGAGCGGCTGATTGGGAGTCTCAGCTTCCTATGGAAAGGGTCGAGCCTCAAATAAAGTCGGGTGTTTTCAGGCGGCTCAATCAAAAGTAATTGCGAACCTGAATCTGCACTAGAAATTGGGCGGGATACATCTGATTTTCGGGGCTTAATAGGCCCGTTTCTAGTTTGAGGAATTACGAGTCTGAATCTGCACTGGAAATTGGGCGGGATACATCTGACTTTCAGGGCTTAATAGGCCCGTTTCTAGTTTGAGCAATTACGAACCTGAATCTGCATTGGGAATTGGGTGGGATACATCAGATTTTCGGGGCTTAATATGCCCATTTCTAGCCTGAGCAATCACGAGTCTTAATCTGCACTGGAAACTGAACAAGGTACATCTAGGTTTTCGGGGCTAAATATGCCCATTTTTAATCTGTGCAAACACGAGCATTAATCTGCCCGGAAAAGGTGGGGCAAATACATTCACTTCTCGGGGCTTGAAATGCCCAATTTCTTTTAGTGAAATTTCGATCATTAATCTACCCGGGAAAAGTGGGAGAAATACATACAGTTCTCAAGAGCTTGATACGCCTATTTCTTTTCAGTGTAATTTCGGGTATTAATATGTCCGGGGAAGTGGGGAAAATACATCCAGTACATCTAAAGTGTAGTGATTACTTGGTTTGTCGGACCTCTGCAAAACTCTGTTGCCATGTGAACTCGTCACTCTCCAAATTTAACCGTTGAAACACTGACATCATTCGAGCTTACCACTTCATCAGCTCTCCATAGAAACTCTTAGTTGTGCAAGAGTGTGGATCTCACGATTGTCTGCGAGGGCTACTGCTGTATAAATATTGTGACTTAGCGGTTGACAATTGAAACCTACTGTGGCATGTACTTGCTGGATTACCGGTTGACTGGTGAAATCGACTGCTGTGCGAACTTGGTGAGATGGGGTGCGTGACGCGACGCCCCTCAACCTAGCTCCCCTGCCAGTCGCTGAGGACCTCGGAGGCGGGCGTGACGAAGTGACAGGCGCCGTAGTCCATGGCTTCAGCGAGCGATAGGTAGCTCCTCCCCGGGTTTCCTCACAACGTTCCAAAAGAAGTATTGGGCGATCGATTGGCACCTCGGTATGAAAGTCCCTTGTTGTGGGCCAGTCATCTTCTTGCGGGATGAGAGTGTCGGTTACTACCCATGCGGGGGTATCAAGACTTACTCGTTTGATAAGAACATGCCTGACGAGGAGTACATGAGATTCCATCTGACGACGTGTTTCGACATCGACGGTCACGAGGTGCCTGACAACTACAAGCTCGTGTCTTTCCACGTGGACAAGTTCCAAGGTTACGGCATCCGCGTTGCATCAATGCCACCATTCGACAAGTCGAAGAAGAAGGATGCGTTGCAGATGGTGATGCTAAGGCCGTTCGAGTTCCTCAAACGCGTTAATTGCTATAAGGTGTCGAACCATATCGTGACGATTGACAACAACCTGCAGTTGTCAACTCCCTTCGTGCCCTTCGACTGTGATCTTGGAGACTTCGCAGACATGGTGCGACGTCACAAGCTGCAGGCGATGGGCCAAGCCGTTTTGCGAACTACAGTGTCTGTGAGCTCGCCACAGGCGGTAGGCAAGACTTGTGGGGAGCCGAAAACATCCGCCCGTATGAGCAAAAGTGGGGCCGCATCGACACAGGCAAAGAGCGTGAGCAAATCAACTTCTCTGCTCCAGCCGAAGGGTGTGTCTGCGACGCGAGCACCATCAGATGCAAAATATGTGGCACGCGTTTCTTTGACTCCGGCTGGTGGGGCCACTGACCATGAGGATAACGACGAAAACACAGAGGAGGACTCGCGCTTCAGACAGTGGGACGATGGGCGGTGGCCCGATGGCAATAACGCGAAAGACACGGAAGGGGACGACGACGAAGAGCGGTTCCACGACGGTACACACGATGAAGAGGGAAACTTGGAGGATGGTTTGGCCGAAGGCGATGGTAGTGAAGAAGAAGAAAAGGAGGATGCAAGTGAATAGGACGCCGCGGAACGGGAAGACAACTACGAAGGGGGGAGCGAAGGAGATGAGGGTGAGGGGGACGACGACGACGGCGGGAATAGAGGGTCGCAGAAAAGACGGAAACAGTCTTCATGTGCCACAAGTCATGACGGTCCGGCAGAAGATGACGATGTGTTGCATGGTACGCAGAGGTCTGTGTGCATGCGCAAGAGGAAAATAAGATGTGGGAAAGCAGAGGAAGAGAACCGGAGACAAGCTAAGCTCATCAGCCTACAGGCCTCAAAGGAGGCTTACAAGAGATCCTTGGAGGCCCAATCCGCTAAACCAGCAAAGGAAAAGCGTGAACGAACTCGATCTTCCCAGAGACCGAAGAAGAAAGCAAAAGCCGAGGAGACAAAGGAAGTGGCGGACTTTGGGGACGAAGCCGCGAGGGTCGACCCTAGACATACAGCGTCAAAACCTGACGAGTTGACCAACGACACTATCGACACCACAAAATGTTTTTTTCCTGGAATACGACGAGGACGACAATGCGATAGATCGTCCTACCCAAGTGTTCGTTGACGTGGTCAAAATACTGCCCAACCCTTCGGAAGGCGTGCAATACAACCACAGGCCGTTGAACGAGATGTTGGTCACCTCCATCAGGGACGCAATGGAACACCCGGAAAAGCAGAAGGAGTGGGACAAAAACACATGGATTCTTGCTCCTGTCGTTGAAGTGTAGAAGGATGGCCGGAAGCAGTGGGAACGTGTGAAGCCAGAGGAGTGGGATGATGACAAGGTTGACTCCTACCATTGGTACACCGTGGTCGGCCAACATACAGCGGAGGCAGCAAAGAGGCTGGTCGCTGCAAAATCATCTGCTGCCCACAAGTGGGGCGTGCATTCTTGGAAGGCGTGGGTTGTGTATTTTGACGACGACCATTTAGAGGGGTATGCGTACATCTCCACGTTTGACAACACCAGGGAGACACGTGTGATCCCGTCGTCGCTTCGAATGGTTGTGACTACTATAAGAGGACTGTGGCAGAGTATGAAAGAGTCAAAAGGTGATTAGCATCAGGCAAAGACGTTGGAAGAGAGGACTGCACAGCGTCACCAATATCAGGAGTTCGTACGGAAAGCTGTACGGATGACTCCTGACACATCGTTCTGGAACTAGTCGTTGGCGAAAAGATTTGTGAGAAATTGGTCAAACCTTTTGAGGCCCTACATGTGTCTTGCGGCTAGCGGCAGGGTTGTGTGGAATCTGGTTGAGAAGTTTTTTGACAAATGAGAAAAAGGGGAACTGCCAGGGCAGGACGGCTTTAGACCAGTGGATCAGGAAGGGAAAGCAGGCGAGGCGGCAGGACCGGGCCCTGCAGCAAAGACGGTGAAAGGCAAGAAAGTGTTGGTGCACTATGTCCAGTCTACCAAAAGCTCACTGGGTTTCTATATTTGCATCAATGATCCCCCCGCGAGCGCACAGAAGGTGTTCGGCGATTTCACATCAAGGGAAAAGGAGATTGCCGTCGAGAAAATACTTGCGGGACACGTTGTCGTCACGAGCTGAAGGGCATTTGTGAAAAAAGTGATGAATATGCAAGACCTGTACGTGGAGGTGAGAAGGGAGAGATATATGGTTCGAATGTTTAACTATGTCCTCTTCAAGATAGAGCAGAGGTCGGAGGAGGAGTGAAATGATAAGTTTTTCATTGGCTACGATACCATAATGAGGCGGTTTGCACCGCGAGGGTCGACGACGAAGAAATGGGAAGAAACCAAGTCCAAGATCGTAGCAGAGAAGACGATCAATGTCCCAAAACGATTGGGCGGCGTGGATGAGGCGAAACTAGAAAAAGGGAATGTCGGGGGGCACAAGGTGACGACTGCAATATATATGGAGTGTTCGTACTTCCTCAAGCTTTTCATGTATGAGATTCTGGGTGCAGTTGACCAATTGAGGGAATAGCTGAGACGGGTCAGCTCAAATGCTCAGCACATAATGTGGGACAAGAGCAAAGATCACACGACGTATCTTCCTATCTGCATCACACCTATGGACGCACTGCACCCGGCAGAAGATTTGACTCGTGCCGTGAGAAAGCTGAGTTGTCACCTTGCAGTATTGGACTTGGTTCCGTTGAAGAATCTCGACGCATGGAACGACCAAAGGTTTCACGAGTTCCACCAAATGATGACGGTATTGTGCGGGTCGTATTGGGCGCTAATCGTATTCAGCGCATTGAAAATCGAGGAAATGGTGTTGAGGAATGTCTTCAGGTGGGACGGTGTGAGAGTTCTTCTAGGGCGCTGGCGTCGTTATAGCGAACCAGCATCATCTTGCGCCCAAGTTGGGAACCTTCCGTTGAGAGGGCGTGACTCCATGACCATAGTGCTGCACGGTACAGAGAACGACTTCAAAAAGGTCACGGTCGCAAAGTCTCGCATGAACACTCTCTTCGACACGCATTACGTGGAGGAGTTATTTGTACGGTGTACAAAAGAGGTGATCGCCGTGCGAGGCGATAGCAAACCTGTGTACAGGATATGGAAGCGAGAACCTGCAAAGATGAAAGACTTGTGCACCTGGTTTTCGAAGGAAGGGGAAGGTGTTCTGTTACTGGGCAACGTTCATGCAGGAACAACGTGGGACTTGCTTCGCTCAGGACGCCATGTTGTCGCATTCGATGGTTCCTCAAACCTGATGGAGTACTCTACTTTGTTCATCGATCGTCACGTCAACAATCCGGATAATAGGTGTCACTTTGAACGATCCAGACCTCAACATCGTTCAGACCGAGACATGTTCCTGAAGCTCGGCAAGAAGAGGGACTCTCTGTGGAGCTATCTGTTCTGCAATGCACCCGCAACACCAACAGATGCAGATTATCTGCACCGTAAGGTGATAGCGATCCAACATCTGCAAGGATATCACAATGTCAAACGAGGTGCAATTGAGATATTTTTGGGACGATGTGAATACCTATGGTTTGAAGGGAAGCGAGACAAACTTGATGTCAAGGTTTACTGCGAGGTAATGGATGTTGGGGAGCAGTTTGACATTATGGACAATGAGGTGGAGACGGAGGATGAGGAGATTGACCTGTCATTGTCGGGTGCGCATCACAATGCAGTGAGAAAGGAAACGCCTTCGCTGTCCGCTTTGGGTGGCCCACAAGCGATGAGGGAAGATGTTGGCGGCAATATCGCGAGTACCAGGAACAAAAATGTGACGCGCGGAACAACGTCGAACACAGGTGGTGCAATGAAAGGCAACACATCCAAGTGCGGCATGAAGGAAACAACCCCAGGATTCGTTTCGCTGGTGAGGAGAGTTCGCAATGACATAGAAGGAGCAACGGACGGCGAGGCTCAAAATGTTGCGCATGCAGACAAGGAATCAGAGGACGGCTCAGATGGGATGGACATAGAGGATGATCCCCTCTTTCACATCCCAGACGACGCCCCCAAACAACTTGCACCGGGTGATAACATATCATATAACATGAAGGAGATGAAAGGAGGACCTCACTTTCTAAACATGAAGTACAAAGAGTCACATGAACACGAGTGGGGGCATCACATTGTATGGCATCCAGGTCTTTTCGAGCCTTGTGTGATTGATGGCAGATGGCACATGGCTATCCGAGTAGGTGGGAAATGGGTATTCAGGGAAAGAGTCCTCAGGATCAGGTTTCATGAAATCCCGAAGGACAACTTGTTTACCCGCGCGAAGCAGGCGAGCAAAGATGCGCCAGAGATTACAAAATATCAGACAAAGTGAACTCGTTGTTCGAATTTCTGCATGAAAATCACCTTCTCGAGTATTGCGCTGCGTTCTACAACAAGAAATCAAGTCCGTCGTATGAAGCTGTCATCTGGTCTGTGGACTACCGTGCAACGGACTGTATGTTCGATAGCGACATACTTCTGGGATGCAGTCAAGGCCTTGAGGGACACACACCCGATGGTGGCGAGAGTGTGGCAGACAAGGAAGGGCATATCAGGATGCAAAACACAAATGGAGATGAGTTTGTGAAACGGTCATCGAGCACACCGCAACCAACACTTAGACCGTCAGAAGGCATCAGTGCAGTAGGAGCCAGAAGTGAGACAACACCAACAGCAGGCGAAGAAGTTGTTGCACACGTGCATGGCAACGACGGGAAGGACGAAAAGATTGAAGAGGACCGGGGACAAAAAACACCACACGAAGAAGGGTCAAAATTTCAAGCACATAAGGGAGTGAAGGCGGTGGTAGGGAATGTCGATTCGCATTCCAAGCAGTCGCATACGACTGTCATCAATACACAGGCGCAAGACACCGACGAAGCCACCAGGGAGCAAAGTGCGCATCAGAAAGAAGGGGGGAAACGACCAGTGCATATGGAATGCACTGGTCCAGGAACGCAAATGGTTTCGGAGTCAACAATGACAGAAATGAGAGCTGATTTGGAGGGTGTCAATGAGGCAGAGCATGAAAAGGTTCCAAGCACGACAAACATGGAAAGGGGGGAGGAAAATGAGAAAGAAGAGGAGGCGGACAAGAGTCACAGTGTGATCAACTTGGTGGATCAGTCAGGTGAAAACGAAGAAACATCTGACAAGGAAGAAGCGAAAGAGTCGGGAAAGGAATTTCAAGAAAGAGAGCGTGATTTGAGCGAAGCGAGTGAGGGAATATGCGGTAGAAAAAAAAAAGCAGGCAAGGAAAAAGAGGAATGCACAATGCGACGTTCAAAAAGAGGCAAGGAGAAGAAAGTACATTGCAACGTGTAGTGCATGTGTGTACATGGGTGTCTGTCTGCATTCACAGTCGATGGTAGATGTGTGTGTGTGTGTGTGTGTGTGTGTGTGTGTGTGTGTATGTGCGTGTGTGTGTTACATCACCGGTGAGGATAGGATTTTAGAGTATGAAACGATGAGTGAGAGACGTGATTTATATGTCGCTTGTGTCAGTCAAGTACATATTACATTTTGAGTACGCTTCGAGTTTTTTACATGTAAATGGAAGCGTGGAATGCACAAATTATATATAGATTGTGTCGATCGAGAAAAAAACGCAGTTTGTGTATCAGATTATGCTATTTCTGTATGGAGAGCGCTCGACGAGTTCAATAATTTCACATTGTTGCTACCTTCTGTGTATGTAAAGATGAAGTTATCTCTCTCTCTCTCTCTCTCTCTCTCTCTCTCTCTCTCTCCCCAACACACACACACACACACACACACATACACACACACACACACACACACACATACATACACACGCACGCACGCACACGAACACATAATTGATAATGCAATGACTTCACATGTTAACAACAAGCAATCCCATTATGGTGTGAACCAGGAACATTGCTACACGTTTAAGGCGAACGCCGATGTAAATATAGGTGGACTATTCAATTAGCAACGGATGCTATCACCGAGTCGGAAGAAGATGCATTGCGCCAATGGAAAAATAAGTTCAACAATTACGAAACACTGTCAAGCACCAAGAATCTAGCGATGCGAGAGGAGTTAAGATTCACGGTCCATGATATGAGTATCCTCATGAGTGGCACACGATGGCTAAACAATGACATTATAAACTTCTACAGCAATATGATAAAGGTTGACAACATGTATAGGACTTCCCATCGAAAGTGCGATACGCGATCTAACATGTCCGCGAAGTACGCAAAGGGTTTGATTCCGCGAACAACTGTATGTAACTTTTTTTTTTTGTCAAACTCATGGATGACAACTTCAGATATCACTATGACAAAGTAGCTAAATGGTTCAGAGACGTATTGATCACAGATACTGACTTGATTTTAGCCCCATACCATAATATTCATGAAAAGAATTGGACACTTGTTTCAGTAGACCTCCGACGAAAAGTTATAGAGTACTACGATTCGATGGAACCAAACTCTGACGTTGCAAAAAAGGTAGTCAATAACTTCGCGAGGTTCGTGTACGATCGATCAACACAACAAGGAAAGCAAGTAAACACTAGACATTTCAAGAAGGTATTAGAGGTGGTTGGTATCCCGAAACAGAAAGACATTCATCAGTGTGGAGTATTTCTGCTAGCATACGCATCTCTTTTGGCAAGAGGTCGGTTACCACCATTTGAATTCGATATGCACGATATCCAACGCATTAGACGTCGGATCGCACTAGACTCAGTAGCAACTAGAGAGAATGTGTAGCATGCGACAGATTACAAAGGAGATTGAAGAGGTTGAAAGGTGACAGTCATTGAATTGTTCGGTTGCAAGTCACTTATGGCAGTTTGCAAATGTACAATGTTATGTACAATATGGAATGTTTTGACCGACAGATCGCAAATGCAGCGACATATACATCAAACTTGTACGTAGTCATACAACATGTTGAGGTCTATCTATGTATGGTCTATGTGAGGTGTGGATATGTATGGTCTATGTGGAGAGCAGAATGCAAAAAGGATGGAAGCCAAGAATGTATCATATACCATAAGCATATGCATGGTGGACGTGGTATCATCGCCGGTATGATGTGCATATATATGGTGTATGCGGTATGATGTACCCCTAATGGTATATGGTACATAATAGTTCACCTACCATATATGGTGCACGTGGTACCCTACGACTACAGTCTACCATGGTCTACATATAAAGCCAGAAGTCACGATTTCGGAGGAAAATTCTGTACATTTTTCACTTAATTGAATTTCGCGATTTAAAAAAAAAATGTCTGTTTTAACGAATGTCAGTTAGTTAGAGTGTCGGCCAACATTCACAACCTCTGTATTGAGTGTTACATCTGAGGTAGGCGCAGTGACAAAAAAAAAAAAAGTCGTACTGTGGCAGACTGTTTCGTCAGGAGGTTTAGGCCCGATAGTCTGCCAAGGATGCCGATGAGCAGTGACCAGGAAGAAAGGGGAGTAAATCGCCCAGAGTTTGCGATGCCCCGGAGAGAGCTGACAGGTCGACTTCACTCACACCAAACGTGCAATCCTAACGGACTGTCGTTGTGTGTATGTGTGTGTGTGTGTGTTTGTGAGAGAAAGAGAGAGAGAGATGTGCAGAAACTATCACTGAATATATGCTACCTTCGGGTCGTGTGAGGTCGAGGGGGTGGGAAGGTTGTTTTGGGGAATGGCTGAAATTTCCTTGGCTGACACTATTTCTTCTTGTTCATCCTCTTCTTCTTCCACTTCTTCTTCTTCTTCTTCTTCTTCTTCTTCTTCTTCTTCTTCTTTACGTTTTTCTCCCGTCAGACCCCATCATGTCCTTCTCCCTTTAAGCTATTGTTTTTTCAGATTTTTTCGATTTTTTTTTTTTTTTTTTTTTTTGGGGGGGGGAACGCCCTTGAAAATAAAGTGAACTGTTTTTTTTTATTACTTTCCTTAGTAATAGTTAGTATCATGTTTTTTATTTTTACTTTAAAAAAACAGGTTGCCAGCTGGGCCAGCCGGGTGACCTTGTTTGCCCGAACGGCCTGACGATGCAAGCGTCAAAGTAGGTCGTAGAAAGAAAAGAAAAAAAACGATAAAAAATAGGACATGCAATATCTGAAAACAATATGTTCTGCAGAGAAATAAAGTGAACTATTTTTGCCGCAGGGTGACATCCAAAAACATTATATGGTAAAAAACTAGGCTGCCAGAGGGGCCCGGGTCCACTTGCTCGCCCGGGCAAAAAAAATATATATATATATATGATATATAATTATTTTTTACGTTAAAATTTTATTTTAAATTTGGTAAAGAATTTAGATATGACCCTGAGGCAAAAGTTATTCAGTTTATTTTTCTGTATAACATAGATTCTTTTCGGACTTTTTTGTTTTTCTTCCCATTTTTTTTTTTTTTTACTGGGATCTTCTATGTTCCTTGCACGGCCGGGCCGCCTGAGAAATTAGGGTGACCCGGGCGGCCCGTCTGGTAACCTAGGTAAAAAACAAAAAAATTGTAATTTTTTAGTTCCCGGTTGGGCAAGTGGTCCAATATAATAGTTATGAATACTATAGATTATATATTATAACTATAATGCATTTTATTAGCACACAACTTTCACGTCATTGCTCAAAGCAACGACGAAAAATATGAAAACGGTGTCGTGTCTCTCAGGTCCCCCCCCCGAAGCACAACCCACAATAAACAATTCTCGTTCAGGTACCTTGTGGCATCACATACAGACAGTCATCAGAGCGCATAAAGGTGTAGACAAGAATGCAAAAATACGGTGCGTGGTGCCAATGTGTCTGTATTATGACAAAACACATGTAGATGGACGGCAAAAACAGACGGCATATTCATTAATGATGTCCATAGGTGACCACGCAGATGACGCAACACTTCTTGTATATCATTCTGTCCTTCATCACCGCTCATGCGACAAGGGATGGGGTTTGCAAAGCACCACGTTCAAGAAACGCAAAGCCGTCATATCGCACTCAACACTGTCTGTGGCATTGCAGGCTGCGAAGCAAACGTCGCATGATGATATTGTTTATGATGATAAACGGTGGGGAGAGGTAACAGTGCACCCTTTCCTGCTCAATTATATTCAAGACTACCCTGAGAGGTGCGCCATCGCAACGGTGAGATACGGTGTATGCGCGACATGCACTGTGTCCAAATCAGATTTCGATGTCATCGCGGACTTCACAAACTGTCGTCGATCACTAAGCATGGAACGTGAACTTCTTAGCGGATTTCATTCAACAGATAACGATAATATTCAACGTTTAATGAAGACACAATTGTCGAACTTGAACATGCCCATGCAGGTGAAAGAAAACGGGTTGTGGGGATTTTACAGGGGTCGTGAAAACGATGATCCCATGTTCGACTACCACTTGGCTCTGCAACCAGACCGCATGCACACTATCGAGCACAACATATTTTTGCACATATTAGACGCTTTCAGAGCAGCTGCATTCGACAAGTTGAGCCACGTCGCACAAAGCAATGTGTTGAGGAGTTGGATCCGAGGTTGCAAACGTTGAACAAGAAAAACAGTACTACATATCCGCAACTTGTGCTACCTATTGGAACAGGTAGCGACTACTTTTCACGAGAGGGGGGTTTCGAAGCAAAGCAGAACCGGTCGAACCGGTCGATTATGACAGTGTACGTATTCATAGTGTCCAATAAAATCCTAGCATGGTACGGAAACGAATAACATCTTGTTTCAGAAACTAATAGAACTGTACATTTTAATATTCTGGTGCACAAAACATTCAATATATTCACTTGAGGCATGTAACAATCTTATGACGGACTTCATAACAACCGTCAAACACGTTTTGGGTCATTATCAAACCTCGAACTGAAAACTGTCAAAGTTACACGACCTTCTGCATTTGAGGGCGTGCATCGAACGGTTAGGTCTCCCATACAGCTTCGCAGCCGATGTGTGGGAGCACCACCACCAGAAGTTTTTGCAAACAGTCTTTCCTGTCGTCGAAAAAGCGCAAATCTTCATTTCAAATGGTAAATCATGTGCGACGGCCTGTCGCATTTCTCGAGGACATATAATGCGCACGGAAACGGAGGAAGAGGACAACAGAAAATTGGTCCTCCGTCATTGAGTGCTCGACACACGGAATGAATACACTAGCCGCACGTGACACGGCCAAGTTGCAACTTCGATTTTTCTCCCACGATAACATAGGACTATATGGAAACCAAGGTGCGACGGGAACCGGCGATACGATACTGAATGGTATCCCCTACATGGAGTACTTTCGAGGTGCTCCTCAGACGTACATGTCAGAAAACGGGTGTAATCCACCGCATGACGACATGTTCATACGCAAAAGAACGCATCTTGTCATCGCAGTAACTGATGATGGAACAACCAGGGGAACACTTGTGCAAACTGCGAGGGCTTCACCCAACTTCCACGGGAAAGCAGTGCACAGTGATGTTTCTGTGAGGGTACAGTCAGGAAGTACGTGGCATGCATCTGTGGGAATGTTTTTTATCATGAATACCTGTACGGAAGAAGTGTCTACCACACACAATTGCGTCCTTGTAAAATGGTACAAAGAGGTTGATATAGAAAGAGCAGATGCGACAGAGTGTAAGAAATTAAAATGGAAAATGGTAAATGGTCGCCAACTGTGCAGCGTCATCTCCGTTGACAGTATCACGGACAATGTCCACATTGTTTCATGCTTCGCAAAACCACAATGGGGTTCATCAACATATGCAACACAAACTGATGACACTTTTTATTTGAACAAATTTGTAGTGTGATATGTGACTTGCGACACTAAATGGTCACAACGTGGTCCGGTTGCGTAGTAGGGGTCAATTACAGGAACACCGCTCACGCACGACATCTTTATGGCCCCCACAACCCAACTCACTCTCTCTCTCTCTCTCTCTCTCTCTCTCTCTCTCTCTCTCTCTCTCTCTTTCCACACCATGAACAAGTCATGTCATGACGTGAGCAAAAAACGACTACAGAAACTGACGCTCAAAAGATCGTGAAAATGTTGATGACTTGTTCACAGGGAGAATCTCACACATTACGAGGAACAGTAGTGAACGCTCAACAGTGGCAGCAGACATGACTACAACGAGAAGAAAACGATCAAGAACGACACGAGTGTGGACAACACAAGAGAAGAACTACGAACATGAGAGTGTGGCCCGGGTAACGATTGATACTAATGGACAGAAAACAATATCGAGGAAGCAGGAGCATGATGAGGGCAGCAATGTGGGAACGCAAAAGCTCAACAATGGAACGACGCACACAGAGAACAGGCCACAAGACAGAACAACAGAAGGTGAAGAAACAACACGCTTAACACCGACAACAGGTGTGAAATGCACAATATTCACAAGGGAGGCTATGTCGGAGAGATGGGAGCACATGTTACGGACCCGTGGTACAACAGAACGTACTTGGCAATAACAATCCGGTCAGCAGTTAAGCCACGTTCGAAGTCATGTGGAAAGACGATGGAGGACAAGAAGGATGAGAAGGCATCAAACTCGTCATCTGGGTTTGAGGTTGTTGACGAAACGAACATATATTCGTTCACGTGGAAAGACATAAGCCTGAAGATCCTATTGGCGGAAGAAAATTTGATGCGCTTGGCAGTCGGGAAGTGACTCAATGACAATATAATGGACATGTATATGCAGTCTGTATATGAAGAGGAATTTGAAGGTAAGGACACCACAGCGGTGCATGTGTGCACAAGTTTTTGGCATCCGGAGGTGCTCGCGAATCAGAAAGTCGGTGCAGTGAAAAGGGGGTGGAAGTTGCGTGTGAAAAGTCGGATGAGCAAAATTCATCGACTGTGTAAAGACCTGGAGGCTGTGTCGGTCGTGCTTATTCCGCTTAACCACAAGCATCATTGGATGTTGCTCATAATATTGAATGTTCGGGAGTTTTGAACCGATGACAAATGCCCCATCGCTATAATCGTTGACTCGTGTCATGGGTACGCAAGTCCGGATTGGAAGGCATTGCGGACGTTAATGTGGCATGAGTACCTCGACGACAAAAGAAGGGACCCGGATGTCACACGCCAAATGGTGGACCAGTCATGGAACACTTGCAGAGATGTGTTCCGTCGTGGACTGGTCCATGCGATCTTCACAACAAACTAACAGAGAGGATTGTAGTGCGTATGTACGTTCCATGGAAGAAGAGTTGATAACAAAGTTGGCACAACTCCCGACCCACAATGGTATCTCGAAAAACGACATACAGAAAATTGTTGACAAGATGCGCATCAATGAAAGAACCGTTCGTGACTTTCGTCAAACAACTCTCGATCGCATTGCAGAGTGTGCAGCAGCGGCGAAAGGTTCCACAACACTTGAAGCATCTTGGACGATAGCTCATGTCATGAGAGCTGACATAAAAAAAAACAGCGGCAAACTGCCTTAGACAAGTTCGACAGGCAATGGCGGGGGGGGGGGGGGGGGGGGGGGGGGGGGGGGGGGGGGGCGAATCCATCGGTGGTGGGGTTTAGTGGTAAAGGTTGCATTTTAAGTTCATAGTACGGTGAGTTTTCTAACAACACACTTAGAATACACATGACAGCGTTTGAAGACCATTTCAATCGTATCCACCGTCCATCGTGTATCGTGGGTGATCTGGCTATTGAGGCAGGGGCGAAGAATATTATGTTGAACCTTTTATGAAGTGAGAGAGAGAGAGAGAGGAACGCTTCCGATGAGACATAGAGAGAGAGAGAGAGAGAGGAACGCTTCCGATGAGAGAGAGAGAGAGAGAGAGAGAGAGAGAGAGAGAGAGAGAGAGAGAGAGAGAAAGAGAGAGCAAAGAGAGAGAGAGAGATATATGATGACGAATATAATTGTATATGAAAACAAAATGGCGAAGAATATTATCCAACCACTTTTTTGTTTTTTTTTGCATGAATGTGATATCTTCTCCTTTCAACATATAATATGAAAAACAACGAAAGTTCTCTCTCTCTCTTTCACACTCACACACACACACACACACACACACACACACACACACACAGATAATGTTCGGGATGATTCGCATTTAAACATTCTGTATACATTACAGAGCTTTTGAGTAATTCGCTTGTAACTGAAACGTTGTATGTGTCATGTAGCTTTGCAATGGCACTCCGCCGCAAGTATAAAGATCTTTCATCGTCCCTGAAGCACCGAGAGGAAAGACACCCACAAACGCGGATGAACCAAAGCACTGTGGTCAGGAAAGAGAAGGGAAAATTTCAACAAAAGGCAAATGAAAGAAGCAAGACATCACCGTTGATTAAGCCACGCGCGAACTGTGCAGAGGTTCCGGTGCCGCCGCCTCTCCCGCATTCACAAAGGTCTGATGCAAATAAACGACCGCGAGAGTCATCCCCCACCTCTCCCGCATTCACAAAGGATCGCATGCGACAGGAGCATTATTCGCCACAGACGCCAACGAAAAGGTCATGCGGACAAGGGAGTGAAGAACAACCTCGGAAGAACATCACACATGCGAAGAGGAGGAGAACCATTGAGAAAGAATGGAAAGACAAGAAGACAATCGATCTGAGGGGATCTGAAGGTGTCGAGGCAGCTGAGGACGAAAAACGAGATGTGTCACGGGACACAACAGGTAAAGAGCAAAGGGCCGGCACTGAAGAATATGATGAGACAGAGGACGATGAAGGAGGTAACACGGCCGCGTTCTACGAAGGACAATCGTATGGAGAAGATGAAAGCAACGAAGAGGAGGACAGTGACAATGGGTATAACAACACACAGGATGGCGATCACGAGGATGATGATGACAAATAATCATCCCAAAGCAGTAGCAGGGAAGAAAGGCGTAGCGAGGACAATAGAAAAAAGACATATAAAAAAACGCAAGGAGGAACAAGTGATGAAAGCAGGGAGGAAAGCAACGCCGATAAACTGTTAGTTCCGAAGGAGAAGGCAATTGAAGGACGTAAGTAAACAATGTATGAGAAAAATCAAAACCTCAGACGGAAATGATTAGTTGACATGTTGTTTTGCTTGAACTGTTGTCATCACCTGCCGGTAGTGCAAAATGGTAGCGAACAATAAACGTTTTTCGATAAGGAAATATGAGATAGTCTTCAATATGTATGTGCAGTTGTGGTTGTTTCTCCTGCCAAACGAATGTATGTGAGTAGCGGATACCAACTTCCAACTTCTGGTTGTTATACGCGTTGTTGCAGGCCGTCAGATTGTACAAGGAGGGAGACATTGTCAAAAGGAGGCAAAAGAGGCCAAGCATTGGGCGGGTGGCATGCGAGATGAATGCAACTTATTCGGATAAAGGTAAAAAGACAAACTGTTGAGGTCTGTTGCAAAATCTTTTGTGCACTCAACAGCGAGGGACATAACATTCTACCCTTCAGAGGACGACTTCTTCAATGCGTTGCAGTTGATTGCTAACCTTTTAGGAGAAGATGTGAGGGTAGGATTGGGGAAGTATGTACAGGACAATGGTGTGTGGTGTATGATTATAGAGTGCAACCGAATGATGACAATGGTCCGTGGAGAGTTGACTTGGCACTTGAGACATTGGTTTTGGGCAGAGAGAGGTCTCCCGCTCGTACGCGGCACGCAGTCGGATCACAATAACACCGCATGAAACGAACTTCGTAGCCAAATGAATAAAGACGAGACATGGAGAAGGAAGGGCGACGAGCCATGGGGATCAAAACATTTCAAGAGGGCACTCACAAAAATGTTTCAAATAAGAAGGGACAGCGGAAAGCTTGGCGTGACCTTGCAACAACTAGCGATTACCGAACTTGTGATTCGCACAAAAATAGAACAGTCAAAGAAGTCAATCAAGACGTCGGATCAGTTGCTGAAATGACCGTTATAAAGAACGACATAGTCAATATAGCCCGGAACCGGGACACAGTTATGAGTTTCTGCATTTTCAAGCTCGACCGTGACACACGTGTGGCAGATGTGGCAACACAGTACTACAATGCAGGGAGCACAAAGAGAGAAATAAGTGCAGTTGATGACAAGGGCAACGCAGTACATGACTTTGAATTCGAAGTCTTAGCCCCCCAGACACAACCGCAAGCTTTATGCGCAGGACCTTGAATTTTTTTCCTGGAGTGACACTTTTGTTATTCTGACGGATGAGACATGACTCAAGATGTGGTAGGATTGCGTGTCTGCAACTCGTATCACAACGACACGTCCATTTCGAGAGAGAGAGAGAGAGAGAGAGAGAGAGAGAGAGAGAAAGAGAGAGTTTTGAAGTGTGGAGACAAAGGATTTAGCACGGGTCTCGTGCGAAGAAACCGAGTTACTGTGGCTGGGGTAGGCAGAGTTGCATGGTGGGTGTTATTTCTTATGACAGCGGTGCCTTAATGTTATTATGTGGCTCCCTCTACAGAACTATGTGACTGGAAGTGACCTACAGTTGGGAACGGGAAACAAAGCGAGACTCACTTCTCTATGGAGAGAAAGAGAGAGACAGAGAGAGACAGAGAGAGACAGAGAGAGAGAGACAGGAGATCCAAGAAAAATAGAAGTATACGTATAGCATGGTCTAGTACAAAGAAAACGAGTTAGTGTGGGTGGGGTAGAAAAAGTTGGTACTGGGTGCCACATTCTTATTGCAACGGTGCATTGATGTGATTATATGGCCCCCAGTACAGAACCATGTGACTGGAAGTGCCCGATTATCACATGAAGGAAAACAGAGCGAGACTCCCTTATCTGTGGAGAGAGAGAGAGAGAGAGAGAGAGAGAGAGAGAGAGAGAGAGAAAGGGGTAATTGAAGGGAGAGAGAGAGAGAGAGTGGGTGGAGAGAGGGAGAGAGAGAGAGAGAGAGAGAGAGAGGGGGGTAATTGAAGGGAGGGAGAGAGAGAGAGAACGTGGGTGGAGAGAGAGAGAGAGAGAGAGAGAGAGAGAGAGAGAGATGAAATGAAAGACAAAGACACTCTATATATGGATGATTTTGACATCAATTATTATTCGTGGACATATAAGTAATTGGTTGTTCATGTTTCGGAGATAGCTAACGTTTCGGCATAACCCTTCATCCTCACTTATTGTAATGGTCACAGCTAGCATTTACACATGATGTCCACTTCAACAATGTGTACAAGAGTGTCAGTGTACCCTCATTGTGTGTATGTCTCTGTGTGTGTGTGTGTGGGGGGGGGGGGGGGGGGCGTGTGTTCATTTTTTCTTTATTGTCTGGAATGGAAGCACCCTGTTTTACAAATATAATGTCACTCCAACCGAAGTCTATATTAAGGATTACCAATAAAGGTGTGCGCTCACTTATAAAAATAACCATTTCGTCCTCAAACAAACAGTCTCATCTCCAATCCCCAACGAACACTAGGTATATTTTACCGTGACTGAGTCACGGCGTTCAACACTCGAATGCTCCCCTCAGCTCCGATGGACGCATACATGCATGAATATGAATCGGTATCCACCCGACAGGCGAGCACCATAATTCCAAACATAACATCATCACATCTCCAACACGATTCATCACATTACCATCACATTTCCATCACGATTCCAACATGATATCCAACTTAAAGTCTTGTGTTCAACTGTTGATAAACTGTTGATCAACATATGATCAACAGTTTACCAACACATAGTTCAACCTTTCAAACATAGTTCAACAGATTATAAACAGATTCTCAACAGTTTACCAACACAAATTTCAACTGTTTATCCCGTCACTTCATGTGGACTACATAAGTCACAAACGTTGGTTTCCTTCACTTCAAGTTGAAAAACAGTTTTTAAACAATTGAAAGAGGGTGGGGCCCCATGATTAAAAAAAAAAAAAAAAATCGACAATTTTTCTGTTGCATCAGTCGACCTACCAGCCCAACCATCAACACAACCTATCAGTCGAACCATCAGTACACCCATCAGTCGACCTATCAACCCAGCCATAAGCAAATCCGTCAGTAGACCTATTAGCCCAACCATCAGTACATCCATCACTTCATCCTTCACCCGACCAATCGGTCTACCTGTTCGTCAACCAATGAGTTTAAATCACTTAGCTAATCAGTTAATAATGATTTTAACTAAACACCCAGTAAAACATTCTGTCAATAACTTGAACCCTACCCTGTCGGTTAATTTAGTCAGTTAACACTATTTTAATCAACCCTATGAGTGAACTTCACTCTCTTAAGTCAATCTAATCACTCAATCCAATCCATCAAGCCAATCAAGCCAATAGCTCAACCCAATTAGTCCACCTAATAACTCAACCCAATAACTCAATCAACCTTTCAGTCAGCTAATCGGTTAACTAATAAGTTTAAATCGGTTAGCTTATATGTTCATCAAGGTTTTCGCTAAACACCCAGCCAAACACTTTGTCAATCATTTCAACCTTATCCTGTCAGTCAATGTAGTTAGTCCACCCTATCTCAATCAACCTTCACTCGATTATCTCAATCAACCTTCACTCGATTATCTCAATCAACCTTCACTCTGTAAGAACCCTGTTCCAAAGAAGGGGCCTAGAACTCAGCCCCAGGCCACGCTGACCAGAATTGGTCTGCGCTGGGCTGTGTGACCAACACATGCCCAGAAACTGAGAAAGCCGCACGTGGTTGTGGGACCAAGTGCTAAGATCAGGAAATTCAAGAGTCAAAGTCAACTGTCAAGTCAAAGGTACCATGTCATGCCCTTGGTTGGATACATCTACTTGTTGTGCATAGATACCAAGACATGGATCCAGGCCGAAGAGGATACAGTTTCAGATCGATCCAGGCCCTTCGCGGTGTCAAGATCTGGACGGCTGGAGTCTGCAGCAGTTGGGGACCAGACCCCGAGTCAACGCTACATAAGCATGGACTCCTTGGCTTTGACATTCATTATTTCTCTCTTGCGTTGACGTTGCTTTACGCGTAGACGGCACGTCGCTGGCTGGACGCTGCGATGCTGGTGGGCGCTGGCATTATGCTGGCATTGGTGAGATAGCGGCAACACGCTGCTGGCTGGTGCGCTGACTGGCTAGCTACTGTCTTCAAGGCTTGTTAACGTGGCATTGCCACGTGTTGCTGCTGACGTGGTTGCTGCCACATGTGACATTGCCGGGTCTACAGGACCGACATTGCTGTTATATTCTATCATCACTTCAGGGAGATATAAAGTTGGTTTCATCGTCAATTCAGAAGGAAATCAGGACTGTGAGGAGGTTGTGGATACGTACCTGGGATCTTCATGTCAATGTGACTCCAGCGCTGATGAGAGGTTGATTGGGTGCCACGTGGCACATTGTAGTAGGACTTCGATATGTGTTCAAATTACTGTTTATTGTGAGGTGGCGGTCAAGGAAGGAGCCCGGAGAAGGAGTGGACATTGTATCTTCCTCTCCTTTGTCTTATCTCCCTCCTTCCTCTTCGTCTGTGTATGATTATCTCGCCTCTTTCTTTCTGGATAGTATTTGATTATTGAAAACTATCAGCGGCTCCATAATTTGGACTTGCACTGTTGACATTCGTATTCCTGACTTGGGTTCATTGCAATTTGGTATCGGAGCAATACTCCTATCTACGACGACGATAACGACAACGAAGATACACGTGTGCAAGCGCCAGGTAGCGCCAGGTAAGTATGAGGAAGTGCTCAATCGCGATTATAATCGCACGGCAGTCTAGACAGGGCACTTACCTTCTTTGAAAACCTGCACACGTGACAAGATACTGATGATGAAGTTGTGCAGTTGATGACGGCGAATACTGTTGGTAAGAAGACTATTCAGGATACCGATCCCGACACACGTGCTGATGTGGCAGTTGGGATACCAGCCGAGATCACGACCGAAGGTCGCGACAGTCTGCTGACGTGGCATAAGATGTGCCACGTCCCAGGATCTGGTTGCTGACGTGGCAAGTATCACCGCGTTCGTCGCTAACATGCGACCAGATCCTGAGCAGGA